GTAAAGGGCGTATTCCATTTACCGAGACAGAATAACCTAGAAAAGAGACTTCTCGTTTACCAAAATTGCATTTGGCTTGATTAAGCAATATTCCGTAGGAATGCAGGCGAGTAAATAAGGTGTGTAAATGCTGCTTGTGCTGTTCAGCATTTTCCGATGCGACCAGTATATCATCAATGTAAGCAAAAAAGAAGTCAAGACCGTGTAACACTTCGTCGATAAAGCGTTGGAATGTTTGGCTGGCGTTGCGTAATCCAAAATTCATGTACAGAACAAACCAAACGGTGTTGTAATTGCTGTTTTTGGGATGTCTTCTTCTGCAACTGGAGTTTGGTTATATGCTCGAACTAGGTCGATAGTAGAGAAAGTTGTCATGTTTGCCAGTGCATGTGTGAAGTCGTCAATGTTGCGTACAGAATATCTGTCTGGGATTGTTCTCGCGTTGAGAGCACGGTAGTCTCCGCATGGGCGCCATTCATCGCCTTTCTTTGGGACTATGTGTAGTGGCGATGTCCAGGGGCTGGAGGAGGGACGTGAGATACCCAGTTGTACCAACGTTTCAAATTCTCTCTTGGCTGCAGAGAAACGGTACGGAGCAAAACGTCGTGGTTTACGTGCTACCGGTGGACCGGGGGTAGTGTTGATGTAGTGTCTCGTTGAATGTTTCGATAAGGTGATCTGGCCTCTGGGTCGAGTTAATGAGGGAAAATGCTGAAGTATCTCGTGGTAAGCAGAAGTGGTCGGTTTCGTTTCTGTGACGAAAGTAACGGAAGGTTGGCTGCAGTTGATTAGTTGACCAGAGGTGGTGAGGTGTGTGAGTCGATCCAGGAGTCGTTGGTTGCTTAAGTCTACCAACAATTGGTAGTGTGCAAGAAAATCTGCACCGATAATTGGTTTGGTGACGTCAGCTATGATGAATCGCCATGGGAAATATCTTCGTAGGTCTAAATTGAGAGACAGAACAATGGTACCATAAGTCACTATGTTGGTGCCGTTTGCTGCCTGTAGCGTGAACGTGGATTTCTGACGTGGCCCAGGTATTAGTGACTTGGGATACACGCAGATGTCAGTACCGGTGTCGACTAGGAATTTTTAGTGTGTGACTCTGTCCGATATAAATAGGCGACGCTGCGCTGTGTGGACTTCAGTCGTTGCCATACGTGGTTTCCTGGTTGATTTCCTGTCGTCCTCCGTCATGGTAGGATGCGTTAGTGCCTTGCGCTTGACCATTTGCCCTAATATTGTGATTGGAACGTTGTCGGGGTAGAAAACTGCGTGAATTTAAACGGTGTTTCTTGTAATGTGTCGTCTCATGTTGTTCAGATTCATCTGGAGGGCATGTACCATGTTGGTTAAGGTTTGAATGGTCTCAGAAGTGGAACTGGTCGTGGGGTTAGCTGCGCCTATGGTTTGCGTTTTGATTGCTTCCATGATGCAATCAGCTATCAGCTATCTCTGCTGTAGTTGCGATGATGGCTTGAATATTAAGAGGAAGATGACTTAACCAAATGGTTCGCAGTAAATTGTCCGACATTGTGGTTCCAGCCAGACCGCGTAGATGACGCAGAAATTGCGTGGGTTTCCTGTCTCCCAAATCTCCTGGCAGGAGGAGTTGTTTCATCCGTTTTTCTTGGGAGATGCTTAGCCGACGAATGAGTGCTGCCCTGATGATCGCCGGGGGGTTGACAAACATATCACGCACTTCCGCCACATAGTGAGGTTCAAGGTTGCCTAGCACATACCCAAACTTTGTTGATTCGGACGTAATTCCGTAGGCCTCAAAACTGCGGTCAACCATACAAAACCAGGGTCGGAAGGCACGAAGGGTGACAATTTGACGTCTAGTCGGTCAAGGGACATGGTGAACGGAGACGTGTTGTGGCAAGATTGGGTGTCACGTTGCGGCTGGCCTGGGTGGTGTTGTTAGTTTACATGCTGCGTGTCGTGGAACAGGGCTGCGCTGCTCCGCAGGGTGACCAATGTAGTCCTGATGAAGACTGGCCGGTGGAGAATGTGTGACGGATCAGACGGCGGCTTGGATGGTAAATCATCTTCAGAAGGTTCCGGCTGTGGTCACCAATGTTGTTCATTAGTGTCTATATGTTCTTTAGTCGGGGTCACCACTGTAATCGTATAGAGATCCAAAGTTGTGGTTCTGAGAAGAACCGATTTATAATAGCGTTGGACACATTTCTGCATCAATGATTAGTTATGACACTATTGCAGCATCCGATGATTGACACAATTGCAGCATCCAAGGGTTGACACTATTGCAGCATCCAAATTAAAGTGAGCCTGGTGTTAGACTGATTTATTCAATTATTTACACGCTATTTATATAAAAATTATTTACATTGGTTTAATGGCAATAGTTATTTCAGCAGTTTACATACGTATGTGTAAATGTCTATGACCTAGTTAGTCGCACTGTACCGCGACTTTACTAAGTCGGCAGAAATGATGAACATTCATTATTACATATTTGAATTGTTTATTGCTATACCGAGTGTTCCCACACCAGGGACGTATCTATGAGAACAGTTGGAAGTTTAAATAAGAAACCCGGACAATTTGTAAATCAGTCCACAGGCCCTTCACGATTTCACGTACAAGAATTAACAAACACTGAACTTAAACGATAATTGCTATTATGACGAATATGGAAACTGTTTTGCTTTAATTAAACCCGCTGAAAATTTAGAAAATGAAAATTTCGAAAACGAAATTGAAAATACTCCAGACGAACATTACGACGAAAATTTTACGACACTAGCCTCGAGCGAGAACGCGACCTAGAATTTGACGAAATCAATAATTTGTTAAAAAAAAATTACCCTTTATTACATCCCAAAAATACCAACATGAGATCTTAATTGACACAGGTGCCTCTGTTTCAATTATGAACCCAAATTTGGCTTTTTCGTACTTTTCCGAATACATTTATGAACATGGATCATATACATCGATGGAAATTCCCATTATTGGAAGAATTTAATAAACATTCAGAAATAGAATTCTTTGTTTTTTAATTCCATGGTAAATTTCAAAGTTTAATATCTAATCCCGATTTACAAGAACTACAAGCAACAATTAATTACGCGAAAAACATACTTGTAATTGGAGATACCATCATTTCTTTCTCACACACAGAAAACAAAACATCTCAATCTTATCAGATTACTCTAAACAATCTTGATCTATTAGATGGAAGCTATGTCATCACACATGATGGTATTCTACCGGGAATATACACTGTAAAACAAGGTAAATGTCACGTAAACTGTCTAAACAACATCAACAACACAGAACTTATAGACATTGACCCCACTGAAAACTTTATAATATCCCATGAGAAGCCACCTGACACTAATGATGACGTTAAATTCGAACCTTTTGATGACCTTAGAACTGACCACATGAACTCAGAAGAGAAATCAAAAATAATTAAACCATGTCAAAAATATAATAATATATTTCACAAAGACCAGAATAAATTAACTGCTACCACCAACGTCACTCACAATATTAGAACTGTAGACGACGAACCTGTTTACAAAAAATCATTTAGGTACCCTCAACGAATGAAAGACGAAATACATAAACAGGTAAACAAATTATTAACTGACGGCATTATACAACCCTCAATTTCCCCTTATTCCTCACCAGTTTGTTTTGTCCCGAAAAAATTAGACGCAACGGGCACTAAAAAATGGAGAATGGTGATAGATTTCCGAGAGCTAAATAAAAAGACCATTGAGGATAAATATCCTTTACCTAGAATCGATGATGTTCTAGACTCACTAGGTAAATGTTCATATTATAC